ACAGAACGAGACAGACTTTTTTTACGAGGTTCTAAATATGCTAAGCAGTTGTAAAAACTTGGGAAACGCCCGATGGAAAAAAAAGTTCTATTTGCGACGTAGAAAAAGAAAGAAAAAGACATACCAGGTGGTTCATTCACAGTTTCTTCCGAACTTTCCGGAGATACATAGACGGCAACGCAAACAGCGAATAGTTATTTAAATTTCGCGAATTATTGATTTTTACACTAAATATAGAGTTCAAGCTTCTATCGAAAATATGAAATTTTCGAAATATGCGATTTATTTTTGATTTTTATGGACAATGATATATTTGTTATTTGATCTTTTACAATAGAAATTTAATTGTAATATCATCATTAATCTCTAAATAAAATGAGTCGAGGTGGTACTAAATATATAGCTTATCCAGGATTTTACATAAACTTTCGATTAAAATACCTCAGGAATTTAATCAAAAATCTAACAGCACTTTTCTAAACCAATATAGACACAAGCGACCAGTTTGAGTAAAATTTATGCAGTTCGAATAAAATTTGATCAGTCAATCCTGAAATATGATAATCATGTACCAGAATTGTGACATTTCAATTTTTCAAACTCATGTACATACGCTCACACATATGCAAAGAGATTTTGTGCCTAATGGCATATTCACAACGTTGCAATTTCTAACTATGATGCATCTATGATGGTAATGCTTTATTTTAAAACCCATAATATATTATTATATTTATTTATAATATTTGTATTTGTTATTATATTTATTTATAATATTTGTATTTGTTATTTTATTTATTTATATTTATTATTATTACTTCTAAATTATAAAATTTATTAACTTAATATTAAAATTAATTAATTAATACTTTAAAATTGACAAATTTTCCTTGTGAAGTATTTGTACAAGTTCTTTTCCTAAGTTGGTGCAATTTTTTATATGTTTATTTCATATATTATAATATTAAATAATATTATGATATACTTTCCATAATATATTAATTTCCAGTATTTAAATTATTTCCATAATAATATTAAAAAGTTAGAAGTTATTTAAAAATTAAAAACTGAAAATATTAATATAGAACAAAAAATATTTTAATAAAAACTTGGCGCTGTTAAGCTGAATAATACGCTAATAAAATTAGCAACACTTTTAAGCTGAACAATATACTAATAAAACTGGCAGCGCCAAATTTTTTCAATTAAAACTTTTTTATTTTATTTTGTTTTATATTAATTTTTTAATTTTATTATTTTTGGAAATTAAAGCAACTCTCTTATCTCTGAGCGCTTCTACTCGTGCGATTTGATCTTTATTTTGTATCTGTTATTCTCTGCATATCTTCAAGAATTCTAATTATTACGCAATGATATTTCCATATTTTCGTATTTTTTTTACTTGTATGATTGAGTATACCCAAGAGCGGTCATGTAATTAATTAGACCGCAATTAACTGCAAGATCAATCATCCGACTGACTAAGTTTCCATAGAATTCTCTCAAAGCGACTGATAAAATAAAAAAAATTATTCCTTCGATTCCATTTCGCGGCCTTACTTATCAAGGCGAAAATTTTCAAAATAGATAAAGCATAAAAGGATCATAAGAGTCGAAGTCGTTATTTATGCGAAGACACATAAGTCTAAACCTGTTTCGTGGACGACTAGAAGGAAGAAGCGACTGGAAATAAATCGTCCTGAATGAAAATATTGGGAATACAATATCGCCCACACCGAAGAATAATCGATGTGGGCTATAACGGGTTTTTCGTCCTCGATCTCCAACGAACAAACAACGAGATTAATCTCTCCTCCCTCGCAACGAGAGCGAGAAAATAGACATGTGACAGTTGTTGACAAAGCTATTTATCAAAAGAAGCGAATTTATCGAAAGTATTTTTTTGGGATTGGCATCGACCAAACATTGTTCAAATGGAGCATTGATAAACAGAAAAAAGCTGATAAACAGAAATAAAAATAAAATGTTTTTTCATACACGATAAACGAAAGAAAATATAGCATTTCATAAAAAAATACATAATAATTAAAAAGTATCATTATCATCTAATTCGTGAATTCTTTTAAAATTAATAGCGCTATCTAAAGAAACATAAAGTGAAATGCATTATATTGTAATAATTTTATATATTAGATAGACAGATGTATTAATTTTTTATCTTTATTACAATAAAATTGTTTAACTTTCAATATTTTCACTTTTACACACATGTAATTTAAAGATATTCTTACAGAGATTAATTATGTTCGACTTTGTTCTCTCTGACGATTTTCAACGGGAGTATTACGACCACCTGTGCACTTTAATCTTTTCTTCTGTGTTCCTTCTTATCTCAACTATTCAGCTAGCTGTGCAAATCTGTGCGCTGCAGCTTTTCAGTTTCAGAATTAATGTATTAATATTGTCTGTGTTTCTATCTTCTCTTTTGTTTTATTCAGCTCTTTTTTATATGTTTCACATATTCTATAAATATTTCTTATGTATTTTCATGCGCAAAAAATACAAATATTGAATATCTTATATTTATATAAATAATATTTATATAATTTATTAGTTTAACATATCATTATTTAATTGTCATTTTAGTTTAACATTTCTCCCTTTAATTATTTTTAAAACTTGATAGCAAAAATAGATAGAAAGTTTCATCGCAAAATTTGCCTCAAAATTATGAATGGTCTAAAATTAGGTTTTATATTATAATTTATAAGTGCTCTCATTCAAATTCTCAAATTATAATACATATGAATACTAAACGAATCATTCCTGAATAGGTAATTGCTTATATAAATGTAAACTGAAGAGACTTTTACGCGAGGAAACACCTTCCTTTTAGTTTTATGGAATTTTGATCCAATTGACATAACAAATCTTTGAAGAAGAAAAGTAAACGCTTTCAAAGAGATGACGAACAGAAGAAGTAAATTTTAGTGACTACTTTGTTCCCAATTTAGTTCATAAGCCTATGAAAAGACAAAAAGGAAATGCGACGAAGAAATATACATTTGTAATAATCAGTGTTAGAAAAATGCCTCGATTTTTCTTCGTGGCCCGATTAATTCTAATAAGCTCGCCGACAAAATGATTCCTCGCCGGCCATCGGTTCTGCTAACGCGCTGATTGCCTTATTACAAAAATAAATTTTTCCGACGGTTCCGGATGTCTCCTAGATAATAAACAGATTAATAACAGAGCTTCATCGTTCGCAGAATGATATTTTAAAGACTTTAATTCAGAAGAATAAATTCTTCTTTAGATTATTATATTTTTGTGTTGAATTATAAAAGGAATCTTGCACATAGTCTATTTAGGTCATTTATAACTCGCAACAAAATTCGGTAAAAAGAATTTTACATGTATATAACATTTGAAGAATCAAAATAGATATTTGTCAATCAAAATAGATTTTTGAAATGATGGATCATTTTATTTTATAATTTTAAGACTCAGTATTTAGAATATTTTCTGATAGACTATAATATAACTTCATATAAATCTCTCTTTAATTCAGACATAAACTAGTCAACTTTTCTAGACGAACGTTAGACATTTACGGGTTAAAGTTTTGAAGAAATTGCTACTAACTTCTTTAGAACTTTACGCGGATTTCGATCCATCGTTGCAAAAGCACACGGCGAAGTAGCAGAAGATATAGTAAGCCGATGAGGAATGAGTTGAATCAGACGTTCGAAAACCGATAATCAAAGTTGTACGGCGATTCGTGCTGAGCTTAATTAATGGAAAGTCATTTTGCAACTTTTACTTATCATTAGGAATTTATTTAGTCAGAATCGATAAGCTAATCTTTTTTCATTCACGCCAAAGTTTGCGTCAATTAAAATGCTTCATTTCATATAAAATTTTATTGCCTTCGTAGGATAAAAATTTATTGATGATACTTTTTTTCGCATTTAATATTTAATCTAAAATATAATTGTACAATACAATAATAACAATAATAATAATAATAATAATAACGATGATAATAGTAAAATAATAATCATAATTTAAATAGCAATAATAATAAAATAATAATAATTATTGTGAGATTTTCATAAAAGAAACGTTGAAATTTTAAAATATATATACAAAAATGAATACTTAATAAAGAAATATATTTGACATGGCGATATTTAACACACATATTGTTATCTTCATTTCATTTAAAAATAACCAATCATTTTTAATAATGAATGCAATAAGCTTTGCACAACAAAATGTATGATTTCATTCATAAAAAATATTGAAAAAGAATAAATGATAAATAACTAATAGAATAAATGATAAATTACAACTTTCAACTCGATAACAAGTTCTTTGCTTGGTAATATTTGCGTATTAAATTTATATTGTTATGTGTTTTAAAATTAGTTTTGAAATATGATACAATTAATAGGAAGGTAACAATAAGAAAGAAAAATTAATAACTCAAATAAAGTAAATAGTTTAAATTTAAACTTTATAGGTTTACATATTACTTTATATATTTTACATTTTTAGTCGAGTCATTTTATGCTCTCTATAAAATAATTTAAAAAAATATATATCAATATTAAATAAAAGAATTATATATATGTGTGTGTGTGTGTGTGTGTGTGTGTGTGTGTGTGTGTGTGTGTATCATATATTGAAAATAAAGATAAAATAAAGAGGAAGTTTAAATATTTTATTTTTTTAAGAATAGCTCAAGATCCGATATATCCAATAATATATCCGGCGCTAAAAACGTTTTATGATGATTTTTAAATTCTTATACGATCGTACAATTAAAGCCATCGACGCGACAACTATTTTTCAGATCAGAGACCGAGAGACCAGCCGCGAATTCAACCTTGAGCATACATGTGCTAAATCAGAGTCACCCTGCTCCTATACGAGTAGCACTCCCCACTGCACTGCGACTGGTTCATTAACAATTACATGGACGGACATGGCACAGGTGGTACGATATATAAAGTCACGAAGAATCAGCACGGCCGGCTATTAGTTTGACTCGTTCCATCGACCGGTTCGCAGGCGGTTTCCGATTCTCTGTATCCCCTGGGCAATCGTAAATCGGCCGATCTAATCGGTCCAACACGTGCCGGAGTGAACGACTTCGAGTTGCTCGTACCCGTTTCATTCAGTCCGCTCTTGCCCCACCTTTTCGACGTTGTTCAGATTTAAGGGAGACCGAGCCCTTGATTACCGAGATTGTTACGAGGTTCGCATTCCGACCGAAATTTTCTTATTACGCTTCCGGAATCGTAGTCTCGAAGTCCTTGTTTGTCACGATGATGTTCACCGAGAAGAACGTTAGTCTTTTCCTAATAACTGCCAAATGTCTCCTAATGATACACTGTGAAACGTCGTGCGTAGGAAAGTCTTTACTGAGTGAGTACGTCTGGACAACTTTTCTAATATTGATAAATCAACAAACGTTTTGTACCAATTAATAATGCAAAAATTGCACGTTAAATTTTGCCGCACAATGGCATATTCAGTTCTGCAGTTATAAAACAGTCACAAATAATTATACAAAATTGCATATGTTATTAAATTCTTTCGCAACAAATTAGTTTTCAACCAATTGCAGCTTTTATATAATAGACTATCTGCAAATAATGCATTTTTTATGTTTGTGCAATTAAATGCTAAAATATCATTTATAATATCTTATTGTGCAATTTAAAAATAATTGTAAATTCTTATAAAGAATATATAAAGATTTTTTTTTAATTATAGTGCTGTTTTTAATTTTTTATATTTTTAGAGTTAATATATGTACATGTATATGTATATTTTTAAGTTTAATATATGTATAGTATGTGTATAATATTTTTAAAATTAAGTAGAGAATGATAAATATAAAATGTTTTATAAATAAGAATATTTTATAAGTTTATAGTAAATCAAATTTTAAATTCTTTATGTGTAAAAATATAAGAGTCTTTCATGTTTAAATATAATCTCTTAATCTTTTATAAAATAACTTATAAATAATTGCTGTATCTAAAAAATATTGTTAAATATTGTTAAAATATTAAATGATAAAATTTTAAAAAAAATTTGAATTTATAAGATTATGTAGATTTTTTGCGATGAGAGAATTTAAATAATAATATATTCTGTATAAAATAGTATATAAAATATATAGGTATACATTAATATACATATGACTAATATATGTTCAATACTTTACATAATGTTCATTGCTGACATAAGACAGCTGAACTATTTATCATAATGTCAATTATTTCAACAAGAAAAGAGAAAGAATTAACAGCTGTTATTTTTTAATAATAAAAACAGATTTAATTGGCAAAAAATATCAGTATTTATTATTTTTTATATTTTATAATTCATTATCTCGTAATTTATGATAATCTCAGAATCAATAATTAGTGAGATATTTTAATATAATCCGCGACCTGTAACATAACACAGTTGTTATAGAATCAAATAGCGAATAATGTTTGCATCCTATATATAATAGCTTGTCATTACACAGAGCTATCATTTCGTTATATATTTTGTTATATAATTCATTCAAAAACATATGAAATATTTGATACTTGTGATATTTAATAACAAATTTAACATGTTACCAACATTATATTCATGGGAATGATGAGTATCTGAATAATTGAATAAAAAATTCAGTATTTTTATAACGACACACAAATATCTTAATGATTCATTTAATTACTTTAATTAATTCCAACATTTAATATTCTAAAAGAGGAAAAAGGAGAAAATAAACGTGATCAATATATTATTATCTAAAAGTAGACACGGACGTGCCTCCGAAATGACTCGCACGTTCAACTTGGCCAAACAAGTATCTCCTCCAGTAAGATGTTCAGTAAGATCTCGAATAATCCTCATCGAGAAAGTTCGATGCAGTTCTTTGACACTTTCGTACGTTAGCCTCCAAACAACATTCAACAGATAAGAACGGATGGTAGAAATATATGTGAAATGCACTCGTGTGGATTAATCGCGAAAGATATGGGGTTTTCAATGATTTATAATTAATGAGAGAGGACAATATCGAGAGAGAAAAAGAAAGAAAGAGAGAGAGAAAAAGAAAAAAGATTGCGGCCGAAGGTCTGCATTTTTCGAACTTTGCGCATGTTTCCTTATGCATTGCCTTGAACATGATCATCCAATATCGAAAAATAAATTCTTTAATGCAAAATTTATGTTGTACAATTTTTCGCTGTATATATTAATTTTTTACGCTAAATATATATAATTATCATATTCATTAAAAAGAAGTTTTCTAATGAAATCATAAAATTTGTTACTTTAAAATTTGTTCTTTTAAAATGTTACAAGAAATCATTTTCAATGAATATTTTTGACGTTTGCGAAATAATAAATAATAATTTAAAAAATGAGAACGTTAACTGATATATTAAATTATACAAAAACTATCAAAAAATATTTATATTAATATATATATTATGAAAATTTTTTATACTGTGGTAACCTGAAGTAAACATTTATTTATTACACTTATTAATGAAGGCTTTTTTTTAGATATTTTTAAAAATATTATATATTACTCTAATATGATTATAAAATTCTCTGTAATGTAAACCATAATTTGAAATTAATATTTTATCATTTATAATAATATGTCGTACAAAATTTATTTTTTTTTATCGACAGAAAGCATAAAAAGTGACCAAACAGAATTAGCAATTAAAATTTAAACGAAAAGGTGGCCATATCGAGAGCTATTTATTTAGCGTATCATCGCGAGTCCATTCTCACGAAATTCAGTTAACTGCGAGCTCTACGGTAGAATGGAGTATAGCAGGTGTCGACCGAATTGCATCGTTACGCTCGGTACCAAGCCTATCTCATTTCCGGCGCAAAAAGAAACTGACATTTTCCCGTCATAGAACGGGACGGCCATCAACCAAGAGCGGATGTCACTCGAGTTTGTTTCACCTTTTCAATGGATGCTAAACGAACGGACGATACACGGCGCGTCGACTCGAATGACGATTAATTGGCGTGCGTCGAGAAGAGAACTTGGCTCGCGTTTTCGTCAACAATGTCCACCTCTCACGTCCTCTTAATGATCTGCGCTCGTTATCCGACTATTGCAAACAGCACGGATGCAAATCTCGTGTTTTAAAAATAAATAAAAATTAGTTATAACGTGTACAACGTTATCGCAACGTGAAAAACGTGCTCTGGAACGAGAAATTTGTAATAATCTCTTAACGCAAATATACTCTGTCATGATATTCGTGGTACAGTTTATTTTCGGTTTTTATTCTTGCACATTTTGTTTTATAAGTTTGGCAAGAGAAAAATTTTTAAAATGAAGAGAGAGAGAGAGGGAAATTCATATATATTATTTTCATCCTTTTAAAGATTATTCTAAAGATTAATACAATTATTTCCAAAGCTCGTTTTAGTTCATTAGATAACGATAATGGAGAGAATTTTTATTCTGTTATCAAACTATCCTGCTATTCTGAAATTTGATCTTAATCCTTATTTTTATTCCAATAACATAAAAATGAAAATGCATGTGGTAAATATGTCTATTTATGTCATACTTTTTTATGCAGTACATTTATATGAAAAATATGAATTTACGACGAACATAAAGCTATATATTTAAAGCTACATATTTTACTCATTATTTTACTGATGAAAATATTGAGGTAAGATAAGTACGAAATAAATATTTTATCATTTATATAAATTATATTTATATCAAATTAAAGTGTATATATATAAAAAAATATATCGTATTAATTTTTTGAATCAATCTACTCTAATAATTTTTTATGCCAAATATTGCAAGAAATCAATTTATATAAATAAATTAAAGTGATGCCATATGAAAAAATAAAGATGATTTTGAAATTACTCATGATCTTCATTTGAGATCAAATCAATGGCACTACCTTATGTCTCCCTCGAAATCACAAAACTTTTATATGAAACATTTTTCGATAGAAACTTTATTTTTCAAGAAATATTAATACATCATTTAAGATCAGCTTTCTATCTCTTCCTCTCTTCCTCTCTCCTTCTGTGTGTATGTGTATTGTTTTGCATATCTTCGTTTAATCGTTTAATCAAATCGTTTAATCAAATATTTTTGCAAGATTAGTATTCATTTGTTTCGATTAATATGCAGTATGTATATGTTTGTACTACAGAGAATATTATTATTCTGATTAAATTAATAATTATATAATGAATATTACATTATATTGAATGTGCTATATTATTGAATAATTATATATTAGATAAAACTTTTATATTTTTATATTAAATAAAACTTTCTTATGTATAATTTAAAACATAAAATATATTATAAAATATATTAGGATTATATATTACACGTTTAGTTTGCTTTCTCACTTTTAGTTTAAAAGAAACAGATTTGGAGTAAAGAAAAAAAGTCTAGAATACAAATTCTTAAAATAAAAGGAATATTATATATTAAGTTAAATATTAAAATATAAAGTTATTAATTAAATTAAAAATTTCTATTCATACTTTCGATAAAGAAACTATTCTATTCAAGGTCCGAAACAGAGATTGATTTCGGGAATAAATTGATGGGTATTTCCTCTAGCGTAAGAAAGATTATTCAACATTCGGCATAGTCTTTTGGCCAAAAATAGAAATCAACTGCCATAAATTCAAATTGGCGATCACTATGGAGAATGCCTCGCACGAATACGGGTTATGTAATATTTACGGAAAATCCATATGTTAATAAGATCGTATGTTAATAATCCGGTTTTTAAAACAGTTAATGATCTATCATATGGATAACTGTATAGATTGCAGGTTCTCAACTTAATAGCATCTATCGATTTAAGATTGTTTCCGACAGGAATGTATTTAATTATTTGCCCAATTTCGTTGTAACATTAATATTCATTCATTCGTTTTTATGGAATTTTATTTATCTTTATATATATAATATTGAATATAAAAAATTTCATATTCAGTTATATTTATATTTAAAGAAGTATTATAGGTTTATAGCATATTTATTATTATGTTTTTCTCTAGTATAATAAATAAATAAAGGAATTATTTAAATTATTTTAAAAACTAAATCTATTAGAGAGCTCTAATTGTGCAAGGAATTAATGCATTATCTTGTATCTTGATTTGATCATTATCATTATCTTGATTTGAATCGTATTGTATATAGTAATTTTTTGAATATATATTGTAACAAAATTTGTCGCATAAAGCAAATAAAAAAATTAGAAAATTAATAAACAAAACTTATACCTCATTTTGATATATATTGCAAAGAATGCATTCCTAAATAATACATATTGAACTACATGGCGCTTTTCTTTTGTTCCTGAGATATGCAACTTTGAAATATTGTAAATATAAAATTTTTAGAAAGGGAATTTAGTTGATCTTAACATTGACATATGTGTTTACAAGATTATATTTTCCAATAACTTTTTTTCAAAAAAGTTTTTATCACTATTAAGAATTCATTAAGCTATTCATTATAACTATTAAATATTCATATGAAGATTTAAATATGCAAGTATGTAACGAATTTATTTATCTCAAACTTTTTTTACGGAAAGTTCCAAACTATGTATTTTATAGTTTCACTTTATTATAATAAACGCGCGAATGGGAGAGGGATTTTCTGCCATCTCCCACATCATCCACCCCGAAAAATAATCCAACGCAAACCTATTTCAAATTTTTAAGTTAAAATTAGGTTTAGATTAGGTTAAAATTTCATCGAGACAGAGCTGCAGGGGAAAGAATGGAGCCTCCCCGGCTGCATTTATTTTTAGGAAGATAAAGATGGTACATATATAATTAAAAATTTAAAGATAGCATATATATAATTAAAAAAAAAACATATTCGAACATAATAAGTCTCTGCTTTGATACTTATCGTATGAGCCGCTTAAGCGAACTTCGTACAAGCTCGAGCCGACAGCGTCGTCCACTTACCTCATTAAGCCACCCTCGGATCTGGAAGGGACCGCGAAGACCGCACAGGGACGCGAGCCAGGGAGTCTCGTAAGATAGATTGAAAGTACCCGGAGGACGTAGTGGTCGGTCCACCCTAGCGATACCCTGTGCTCACGGCAGATAGTAATTAACTTGCGTGAAGCTTTTGCCCGCGCTAGCGCAGCGACCGTCGGTCGAATTACTGATGCAAAACTTGCGACCTCTCGGCACCTCGTCTATTTCACAAAGGCCGCGCAATTAGTGCCACCTTTCTCGTTCTTCTCCCTGTGATCAAGCGTACCACTGCCTGCTGCTGCTGCGACTCGCAGGGAAAAGTGATTAAACCCGTAGCTACCGCAGAATAGAATATTGCGAGGATTTTCGTGACTTTGCCAATAAGATGCTTCATTTTGCTAATAAGATGCTTTCATTTATAAGATAAATGATAACTAGAGATATAAATAAAAAAAATGTTTTTTTTAAAAGCTCTTTTCTTCTTTTTTTAGATAGATTTAATATTTTTATATTTTGAATATTTTAAGCTGATTTTTCATTATTTTTTATTTTTCAGATGACAGATTTAAAAAATTAATTGTTAAGTGTAATTATTTATTAAGTTAATCTTCCGAAAACAATATTAAATTTAAATAAATTGTCTTTATTGTAGATACATAAATATAATTTGTAATTTTTAAAAATATACTTTAATCGCTTTTAATATAATAAAAAGTAATTAAAGTTTTTATAGTATTAATTTATTTTTTTCGGAAATAATAACTTAATGAGATTTTTGCATTAAAATGATACCAAGGACAACACAATTCGAATAATTTATAACTAGATATATAATAAAAATTGTTGTTTTATATCTAATTAGAAATTATCCGAATCGTATTGTGATTAATATAATTTGCTGCAAAAATCGGATTAATTCATTAAAATTATATTCGAAAAAAGATAAATAATAATCGAATAAATTGATTAAATGATACAAATTCGACGAATTCGACAAATATCCGAATATGTGTGTATTCCCTCGAAGACATTTTCAAACATTTTCGCAGTTTCTTCCTAATTATGGATTGTTAGGAATGAGTTAGCGTTCGCACCATCTAGAAACGGCATAACAAAGTGAACAAAAGGGACGCCATCACTTCCATTTCAATAGGAAGTTAAACTTACGAGACGGAAGTTCTTCATGCACCAAATGAAAGACAAGGGGAACAACGCTAAACCAACTTCCGTAGAAAGTTTTTCGGGAAGCTGCGCAATCTGTAGCTTGCAAAGAACAGTACCAAATGGAGAAAAACCTAAAAGAAGACCCATATAAAGTTCTCATACCACAAAAGATTATTTAAGATAAAAGTGAAATCAGATGACATCTCATAAATTCTCTCCTATCTCGACGTTACATCTTCATAAGCCGAAAATAATATGCGGCATAATATCTTCCAATTTTATATATTTGAAACATAATTTTGACATGTAAATGCATAAATATAAAGTAAAATTTATTTAATAAAAAATTAAAATAAAATTTATTAAATAAATGAATAAATTTCTTTATAAAATTTTAAAAAAATGCTATTTAGTTATTAAATAAATATGATAAAATTATTGAGCAACATTTAAGAATTATATTATTAAAATTGTAATATATATGAAATATTATAATAATATTTATAACATGTATTATAAAATATACAATTCTAAAATTATATTTCTTAAGATTTTATTTATCTGTTGCTGTTTTTCTTTGCTACTAAAACTAGTTGAGAATTCAAACATATTCGATTCTGTATTTTTCTTTCTAGTTTATAGCAGAATGATCGTATCATAATATATAATATTTGTCTCTAGAGACAAATATATTTGGAAAGCAACAGCTGAAAACATATATTATCTTATAGGATCCGGTGGTATATCGTGTGAAGAGAAGCAGATTATCCTGGACGAACACAATCGATTGAGGCAACTAGTGGCACTAGGACAGATACGTGGTCAACCTGGAGCAGCGAATATGATGGAGATGGTAAGTCAATAATTTCATCTTATTTCCTAGAAAATTGCCCTCAAAATCTCGATAGAAAATACGTTTTCTAAATAATTCATATAAATAGATAAAAATATTAGAAAAATGATATGAGAGACAGTTTTCTTTGCATATTATTTTTCAATATTATTCAATTTCTGCTAATTCGTCTGTTACACTATCATATATAGTTTGCTTGCTTTTTATTTCGATTTTTTCTCCTTCTTATATAAAAATTGATTTAATATAATGAGAAGAATATAATAAAATTATAATACATAAGTAATGATGATACATATTAATTTAAATATTAAGTGTTTACAAAAGTATTCCCAAAAATATCCAAGATCATTTTTATCTCGAAACAAAGAATATATTTAAAAAAATAAATACAACCATCTTTATTACATGCAATAAGAAAACAAAGAATTATCTTATACATTCTTATTAATCCTTACAAAAGAAGAGCTATACTAATAATCAAATTTTTGTCGAGAAAACCGATTATAAATCTACTAAAATGTCTGCAATGAAAATTCAGTAGTTTAGAGATATAATAACCAAATTTATGACATACCGTTGAACGTACTAAACTTTATTCTGCAGCATGATGAAAATGTTCTTTTATCTCGCAACATATTTATATTTGTAAAAAAGCCACTAGTTTCTCTCGCAATATACACTAATTTACACGATAAGTCGCATGACAAATTAATTACATAGTTGAAGTGAGTTTTATAACTCTATAATATTCCGTATATCGTACTGTACGATTAATTCGACGTGTATGTTACTAATTGCTGTTACAGATATGGGACGACGAACTTGCTGCGATAGCACAAAGATGGGCAGATCGCTGTGCCGAATCACATGACAGTCTAAGAAATGTCCGTAAGTAACATTTTATTAGCGATTATATTGCATATTTAAGCAAAATGACATTTCTAATATATATATATATCACAAGAACAATATAATATTAAATTTATAATGCCGGAAAAATAACATATTATAATAGCATACGTAGCATGTTAGAAGAGCAGCATTATAAAAATAAATTCTTGCAATAAATAAAAATCACATATAAAAAAAAGTTTTCGTTGAAAAGTTTAAAGACTTTTCATAATATATGAGAGATAAATCATACTGATTGTTTAGTTGATGAAATAAATTAATGCATACAAAACATATGACAATGAAAACCTATGATCAATTATTATTTCTTGCTTCTTACCAGAATAAAAAATTATATTTTAAAATCGATTATTATTTAAAAGTTTCTGAATCCCGTAAGTTAATTAATTCGACCGCATTATAAAGAAGAAATTTTGTTGTTATTTTTGGAAGAACCGAGCTCATATATGTTCACCATTCCGCCATCGCTCTGAAAGATAAGAATATCGAATTCCATTTAGTGGCAAAATTAAGTGTTTTTTGTGAGCTTTTAAATTGATATAGTTTAAATTTTTAAGCTCTATTTCTTAAAAGCAAAGCAGCATCTAAATTATTCGAAAAAGGCTTAAAATATAAAGACTCTCTCTATCCTCATACATTACATATAATTTTTAAAAATAGATATATCTTGACATTGCGGAAGAAATATCCTTGCTCTTTTTCGATTTAAGAAAGAATTATATTTAAAGATGTGATAAATCTATCATTTTTCTCGATTATAGTTCTTTCCTTTCATAAAAAGTAAAAGTACTATAAAAATCATAAATTTATTGCATTTTAAGTATAATTCTTTCCTAGGTGATATTTCTATGCAAAGTTTCAGCTACAAATTACAATATATTTTATAAAAGGACTGAATAAACATTTCGCTCCTTTTCATTTCTCAAAGAAAAAATAAGATTTTTATTTTTTTCTAAGTGATGAGTAGAGATATATAAAGTATTTAAATAGAAAAAAAAGATTCTATTTCCATAAAATACGATTTTTTTATTAAAAAAATCGATAAGCCTCTTATTTTTTCAAAATTTTGTTTATTTTCATTATTTAATGTGTTTGTATTACAAGTTTTCGTTATTTTTTATTTTTCCGATGATAGATTTGGCTTAACCATTATTTTTTAGATTTTTTGATATAACTATTATTTTTTATATCTCCAATGATAGATTTGATCTAACCATGAATTCAAATGTAGTTCGTGTTCCAATTAGCTACTCGATAAATACGACAACGTCTAAAGACGTCTTAGTAACATCATTAAAACGTTACTGTGACATCCATATATCACATAAATTATAACAATGTTTATATTACAGATAGTCATAATTACAAATCGCATTACGTTGAGAAAGTATCTCATAATTCACGTAGCTTCATAAATAAAAATCGCTGCTGAATTAAGCTTTTAAAGTATCTTCAAACCCCGATATCTTTTTTGTCTTCCATTATTCTACATATTAAATATTGACATTTTTTTCCGAGAGAATACTCCAAAAATAAAATAAAATCTATCAGCATATGTATTTTATGTATCAGCATACGCATTACCGTTAGCATCTTTTATTTAAACAGACGATATGAAATATGGAATTATTATTGAAAAGATTACTCTTCATTTTTTTATTTTTTGATTTCTCTTGTCATTCTCATGCTTTCTTCTCGCTCTCTCTTTCTTGCTGTTTTTCATCTCTTTTCCACTTTATAGTCTTTAAAAACAAAACCTATATATATAATTTTTCAATAAATCTTTTAATAAACAAAATTGATAGTAATTTTTTTCAGTACAAATGTACAAATCTCCTATACTAATTTGATAAAAATATAGCAATTATTATTTATAACATTTCATTTTCGCCTAATTTTTATATATTGTTGGCAAAACGTGACATTATATCATGCCGAAAGTTTAATATATTTTTTGCCCGAGATTTTTACTTTTAAATAATAGATTCATGATAATAGATTCATGATCAAAGTATTTGATTGGCAGGTAGATTCGCGGTAGGACAAAACATCGCTCGCTCGTGGACGTTTAGGCCCCCGGGACGTTATGGCGATGAGCCGGACTGGAGACGACAAATTTCTGGTTGGTTCAGCGAGGTACAATTCTATCATTCTGGTTATAGTACAACGACTGGACATTATACACAGGTTTGTAATAGGAGCAAAATCGGAAAATATTAAAGCGTTAGAAAATTATAATTGATTCACATGATATGTAAGAGAAAGATCTCTAGAGAAAGGAAAAAAATTTTATTAGCACAAAGATAAAAACTTCCCATTCATATGCGATATAAAAACGATCGTCGTAATTTATTATTCGATATTACAGCAAGATCTGTACGTTATATTGGTAAAATAAAAAAAATCTTGTTGAAAAAATTTGTGTTTTAGAAGAAAGATTTAAATTTATCGTTCACAAGCGGAACAATATATATTCTTAATAAATATTTTTCAAATAATGTCACTCTCTTAAAAAGTTTTTTTTACTATTCAGATAATAATTGACTTGCAGTGACGAGAATATATAAAATATAATATGAATTGATAAAGATTGACTTTATTCATAGGTCAGTTTCAAAATAAGTTTGAGAAATAAGATTAAAAAACGCGATTTATAGACTCGATCGATCTCCTAATCGTAGTTAATTAATTCTTATTTTATGAACTTGTGCTGTTATTTTATAAATTTTCATGAGATTGTAATTTACGAAAGAACTTTTTAACGACGAGTTTGTCTTCCGGGAAAGAAGCTCGTTTTATTAATTGTATTATTTATCATATTATTGAAAATGCATGTGCGTAGAAGATACTCGAATTTAATTTAATTTACTTCGTTAAAAAAATATATAACATTTCATTATATATATTTGCATACTAAAATCTCTCTATCTAAAAAGCACTTTACTTTTAATCGGTTATAACTTAAGAGCTGTTGATATATCTCGACTTTTTTATTAAAGTAAATTAAACTCTTGAAATTAGCTGAAGGAAACGTGACGAAAGTTCTTGGTTTTACGAGAAAACACCTCTGTATATATTTATCAAACCGTCTGTCCCGAGCGTATTCAAAGTAATCGAAGCATAAACTGTTCCCTTCACGAACTCTTTTCATGTTGACGTGCGCGAGCAATTTACAGATCTTTAAGAAGCAGAAAACATTCCGAATTAATTCCAGTTGGTGTGGGGCAACACCTTCCTGCTGGGATGCGGATATTCATTTTATTACGATCCCGCTCGCGGGTATACCAAGAATTACGTATGCAACTACGGGCCGAGGTAAGAATTCTACTTCGAAATACCACTAGCTTCATTTTCTTTATTTAGTTTCATTCATATTAGAATATGGAAATTGCGTCAAGGCATATTACAGAACTAGATTTTTATTAAACGAAATACTCTTTCGTCTTCATAATTTCAGAACGTAATTTTTCTTTCAAAATGATATAAAAAAATAACTCTGCTCCTTTCAAAATGATCAAAAAAATAACTCTACGATTTCGAACGACTAATTTTATATATTGAAAAAGTTTCAAGAGAGATAGACGTGGAAAAAGAAGAAGAAGAAAGAAGGAAGAGAAAAGAAACAGCAATCTTTTTAAATCATTTGGAATAACATGTTTTTTTGAGTTCACGAAAAGGGGAGCGAATAATAAAATTCATATTTTTTATTTTCTATTTCTGTCTCTTTGTATTAATTTTGAATATAATTAATAATTTTAATTACATGAATTTTTAAAGAAACTATACAAACATACTTTTAATTGCACGATATAATTCTATATATAATTTTAAATTTTCATTATTTCACAATTTTAATTCACTCCTTATATTTATCCCATCATTATGTGTAAAATTAAATTATAAATATCAAAAATTAAAATTAAAATTATATTGTAAATATCAAATCAACATTTTCTGAAAAATGACACGGAGAAATTATTTTCTCAATAAAGAATAATAAGAAAATAAAAATAATAAGAATAATAAGAAAATTATAAGAAAAATCATTATGTGTTTTACTTCGTTTCAGTGGAAACGTAATTGGTGTATCACCTTATCAATCGGGTCAACCTGCATGCGACAATTATGGAATGTCATATAGCAACAGATACGCCGGATTGTGTTGTTAGTATCATAATTAACATTATAATTAGAGATACAAAGAAACTATTTTTTTGACAAAAGATATTATATTAAAAAAATTTCTTTCTTATATTATTAAAATCTTTTCTCTTATTTCGCACTCTTTTTTAGCAACAAGTATGCATATATATTTATTAATGAACATTATGTGATTACAGCTCGTGGCAGTTATTATCATCTCGGAGCTCTATGTATATATGGGTAGTATTACATGGATATTTATCTGGAGAACATTAATTAACAATGGCAAATAGTTCTCGCTAATAGGGCAGTCAGTTGCAATGTATAAACTGTAATTAGTTTCGACGATGAAGAAACAGCTGATTTGCTTATGCGCGATGTCAATTTATATAAACGACAATGAGGCAAATTATGCTTATTACCATGTAAATATGTGTCTACGAGATTGTAATATTGAATTAGTCAAATGTAGTCAAGGCCGTCGAGAGCGGATTTCGGTGAAGAAATTTCTCTGGTCTTTCCTTCTCGCAACCCACTGGGAGCTGACTTCGAAATCCCTGTATGCAGAATTTGTATTCATGATGAAAAAGAAAACGCTAACAAGCATGCAAATATGAAAAAAAGAAAGTTTATTCTTAAAAAGGAAATCAAATTCTTTCATTGTCTCAATGTCCAGAGTAAATTACTCAAAGTCAAAAAAATTATTCTCTGATCAAAAAATAATAAACCTTTGTCTGAAATATAATTAAATATCAAGCTCGTTCTAAATTTCTTTACGTTGTTTTTATCTCGTTCCAACTTATTGAGAAAATTATATAACATGCTCACACAGCACACAAGCATGCACTTAGAATATGAAGCACGCTTAAATTATTAAATCAAACAAGTATTTATAACTTAATTCACTTTTATTAAAAAATATGTATTGGGAAGGTATGTCTCGTCCAAGATAAAATTTAGAAAAATCTCTCTGGAAATTTTTCTCCTTTCCTCCCTCCCCCCCCCCTCTCTCTCTCTTGATCTGTTAATTTTAGTTCTCTCCATTCATCTAGTCTTTATTTATAGTCCATAGAAATTAGTAATTAAAATAAGGTAAGATAATATATGACGGATAATAGATAATAGATAATGAAATTTTATATTAGTAACCGTTTCTTTCTTTCTCTCTCTCTTGTGTAAGTAGAGTTTAAATCTTGTTATTAGAATATATATTATGCATAATTATTGTATCAGAATAATATACACAATTTTTGCGCATATAGAAAATTTATAAATTATGTAAATAAAGAATTTGATATTATCTTTACTGATGTCTATCCTTCTCTAGTTAATATTTTAGAATATATTAAAACATTTATTTAACATAAAATTATAAAATGACGAAGAGATAACAGTAGCCAATTATAGAAGATAGAAGCGATCCAATTATATTAATTTTAATAAAATGAATTTCACTCGTTTTCCATCATGTAAACCTGTTTTAAATTAATTAAAAAGAAAAATACTTGCTTTCAATCAATTCAAGTGTTTTACAGATATACACAGAAAATTAATTTTATAATAATTTTAATAATTAATTTTAATAATTTTAATAATTTTAATAATTAATTAAAATTACCTTACACTGTATGTATTTTACAATCATATATATTGCTTACAAATTTAATTATAAACATTATAATTTTTTGATCAAATATCACGTATGAAGACAAAAATCACATATTCATTGGCTTCATCAGACCTATTTTATTTAATCATGATTTTATGAAATAAAATTAAAAAAGAAAATGTTAAAATAGTCTCTCTCAAATTAGAAAATAGTAAATATAAATACATGTTAGTCATTTAATCTTATTTTTAAAACATGCATATATTACACATTAAAATTTAATCCAAAAACTTGAATTAACAAATAAAAATAAATTTAAAAAAAACTATTAAGTTATTTCAATCTATTATTTACAAGATTAAGATTTATTTTAGCATTTTAACTTATACATATATTTTTTATGTCGATTTTTATTACCTTTATTTGTATGATTTCCATTAAGACGTATACAAGCTTTTTTGCCTTTAAATTCAAAGCTTATCAATTATTATTTGTGTAGAATTAATATGTTATAAATTTCTATTTGATATAAATAAAAAGGAAAATGTTATATATTTTTATAGTCATAATTAGTGTAAAATATTGTTGAGTAATTAAAAAAAAAAGGATTATGTGTTAGCAATGTGCAGACGGAAATACAAACGGAAATTTATGTTAATATAATTAGTTCTAATTAGATACGTGTACTGCAATAAAATGTTTATCACTTTCAATACAGTTTTAATGAAGGCTCACTGATGTCTCGCTTTATAATGCCTGCCACGAACAGACTTATGTATATGTGTAATACCAGAATCTAAAATGAGGACTACTTTATATACCGCTATAGAACATGTTTAACTAAATTGAGAGTTTTAACGATTTCGTATAAATAGGAATATTTTAACATAAGATGAGATGGTATACAAAATAAGATTAAATTTATAATGTAGATCTACATGAATTACACATACACACATACCCATAATATATATATTCTATTGTATATAAATGCGTCGGCTTTGTTGCAAGTATAGCATAAAATGTAATAAGCATCAATCTTGAATGTTGTTAACTGCAGACGATAAGAATACAATACAGATATTACGCTCGATAAATTTTGAAAATCGATATCATAAGATCATCTATTGTTCTATAAGAATTAACGAGTGCTGGGGTATTCTTTTATTTTTATATTTTATAAACAGATCATTGATGTCATTTTATAAATAAATATAAATATAATTTTATAAATAGACTATTAATGTTATTTTAATTAACATTAATCAGAAAATAAAGATTAGAATTCTTTCCTTATCCTTAAATCCTAAAACTCTATTTTCTGAAATATTTTTATATACAAATCAAATTTAGGAGATATACAGCGATTTTCATTAAAATTGGAGATCCTGCGGACATGCGTGTATAATTATTTATTATTCTTATATTATTATTATACATATTATTTACGTTATTATTACTATTATTATTATTATTATTATTAATATTATTATTATTATTACCATTATTACTATTTCTATTATTCTATTATTATTGTTACGTGTTATTATACATTTTCATATTACAATCAAAATTATATAAATCTTATTTTCTACAAAAAATGCATTTTTTTAAAGAATTCTATAGTAAAATATTTAGAGCCATCATTGTGTCTTATCAATGCCATCATAAATTATATGCAAAATATGGCGAGACATTGAATACCCATAAAAGATAAAGGAAAATGTGAAATCGATTTTTCGCTCAATAAATCGCCAGAATATTATTTGCTTTAAGAGCATTGGCGAATTGGCCTCGAGATATAAAACACTTCAGTTAGAAGTCGAGAGCCATAATAATCTTGTACTGAAAGAAACATTATTGATTTACCGCCACAGATTTTACCTCAAAATTTAACAACAGTACTAGAAGTAGAAAATTGCTTACAGTGCGTTTACTGTGCTAAGTGTTCCAAAGAAACCAAAAATTGCGTTTTAATTGTGAAGATAATTAATCTATTCGTAAACACGTACGCATATATAAATTTTAATTGAGTTTTGAGAGCAAAATAATTCCTTGCTGAAGCAATTAATTTTATTGAATATGTAAAAAGAAATTTATATTTTTCACATATACATAGAGTTTTAAAAATAGGTCAAACGGAAGAACATATTGTACTTTACACACACGCGCGCGCTATCTACATGTATATATAAATATGTATTTCTTCTTAATAATTACTACTTATTTTCAACAGATTTTAAACTTGATTGGCTCCAGAAAATGTTTTTTTCATATATTAATCAATCGTGTGATAGAAACGAGTATATTTTTCATAAGAAATGTCAAACAAAAGATTTAAAGCAGTTATGTAAAGTGAACAGATTTAGACACCTGATACAATTTTATTTCGTAAGTTTTATTATTTCAAAGGTTGCACACGCAAATCCAAAATGCCACGGTACAGAACTGTTAGGTAAATATAATACACAAGAAGATTACATATATATATATATATATATATATATATATATATATATATATATATAATAGCAATTTTTGGAAAAATGAGCTGACTTTTTCTTTCCCTTTTTTTCTTATATATTCTCATATATACATATATATACATATATTTAATTATAATTATTATATATTTAATTCATTTGAAATTTTCTCTTGAATTAATCTGAAAATAGAAAGAAAAAACTATCTGTGAAGTGTTTTATAAGAGTCTAAAAAGCTTTGACAATTTAACAGAGAAAAAAGTTACTTTCTACAAAATATATCATGTAAAAAATACAGATTTTATTCTAAATAATTAAAACTATTTCATTTTCTGTTGAGACAGAAAATAAAATAAATAATATTGAATTTGTTATTAATAAATAATATTGAATTTGTTAAGATTTATATTTTGTTAATTTTTTAATTGTTTGAAAAATTATAAAATGCCAAGATTAACAAAAAAATTTAAAAAATTGACCCGTAAATAAAAGAATAGACATTGATATGTTACACAATGTATATGAATCAATTATCAACAGAATATAATATATATCTTTATATAAAATCACGGAAGCACATTATGCACGGAACGTCTACTAAAATAAGATTGAAACCCATATTCGATAATAGACAAGCATTATCATTGATCCTGACGTCTTCGAATTATATTCCAGAAAACGAGGATATGACGTGCGACATCATACGTGATATTCTCGACACTCACAACAGATTACGGCAATCTATCGCCGAGGGATCAATTAATGCTCAACCACCTGCTGCCAATATGCGCGAAATGGTGCGCTCCATTAAATTGTAATTTATTTTGTCCACAAAAAGTTGCTAGATATGATGAATATACACACACATATATATATATTTAAAAATATATTTTATAGATTAAACTTAATTTATATTAATATCTATATATAAAAATTATTTTAGTTGAACTAAATTTATTTTATTTTATTTTATTTTAAATATATAATTTATAAATATATTTATAATAAATATATAAATATAATTTATAATATATATATATATATATATATATACATATATTATAAATTATATAAATATATAATTTATAATTAATAATAAATAGTATATATATAATGAATTTAAATACATATATATATATATATATATATATATATGTGTGTGTGTGTGTGTACAATAATATAATTGTGTGGAAATTTTAAAATGGAACATTCGATGTATTGAATAGTTTATTTTTATAATGTAAAGAGAAATCACATAAATATTGATTAACCTATGTATATTTATATTTGCAGTATTGGGATTCCGAGCTTGCGTCTGGTGCTCAAAATTGGGCAAATCAATGCACATTTGATCACAATAGTGAGAAAGACAGGAAAGTTGGTACGTATAGGTATCAATAAGTGAATAGAATAAAATTAAAGAAAGAATAAAAATTGAGAAAGAAAATTCTTTTCATGTATTGTACAAATAAACTAATTACTCTCATTTATCAGTTAATTTCTATTTTTGTCTAACAATAAGTTAATTTTCTTGTACAAATAAGTATAAAAGTTATGTCTTTATAATCTTTTTCAAATTTTCGATTAATTTTAAATTAATTCTTTATAAAAAGACAAGAAAAAATATTAGACACACCTATAATTCGAATAATTATAAATAGCTCTTTATAAGAGTTAGCTAAATATGAGTTACTAAAATATCTTCATTGTTTTTAAAAATGAATTTATTAATCATCTAATCAAATGGATTTCAAGAATCATCTAATCAAATGAATTTCAATAGGAATTGGTTAAGCGGTTGTATTATTTATTGATGGATCATTTTTCTTAGATAATAAACATATCTATTTAATATATACATATTATATTAACACATGTTAACTCATTTCATATTCATGATATGATATTAATATTCATTTGATGTATATCATATTAAGCCATAGAAATGCAAAACAGATTAATTACAATAGTCAACAAAGCCAAAAAATAAAAAAATTATAAATTATGCGATGCAAGACGACACATTGATAGATAGATTTTGAAATCTTATAAACAATAAAATCTAAAAAAAATATTCATATATATATATATATATATATATATATATATATATATAATGTAATACAATTCTCTCAATTATAATACATGCTCTTTTAAATTGATCCTATCCTCATATTTATTGAAATATTTTATTTTACTTTTGAAAGCAACATAGATATTTTAAATAATAGAAATTAATAGACTTTATAGTAAATATTTCGATAAATGGAATCCGCTTCGATTACTTTGACTTTGACATATGTTGTTAATATATAGGTATTTATTAACATATTATATTTTTAAGATAGATTTCTCATTATATATATAAATTGATTCTTCAAGAAACATATTAAATAAACACATTAAATGCATTTAGAAATTAATCATTTTTTTTATATTGTAATGTTAATATAAATTATCTACATAATCTTATCTATATAAAATATTTATATAATCTTATCCATATAAAATGTTTTTTAGAACGATTTTCGGTCGGTCAAAATTTAGGCCTGATGATAACGCCAGGAAGCCAATATATCACAAAAATAGAATTTTCTAAACAAATAAATAAATGGTTCGACGAGCACGAACTTTATCAATTTAGCGCTATTGACGCAAAGAGTGCAGCTACTACTGGTCACTACACACAAGTATATATACCTGCTATTAAAAAATTAATAAAATAAAATAATATAAATTCAAAAAACTCGTAATTGTAAAATTTTGTGATAAACTAATACTACTTATATTAAGAAGAAAGATATTGTTTATGTTATGTTATATCTTATATTATTTTACTTTATAGAAAGAATAGCAATATGAATTTTTATATCTTGCTAGAATAAAATAAATATTTTTAATCGAATATTTCGAACGAGTATCAAATATTATTGACAAATTAAAGAAATTTTGAAATAATAGTAATGACAAATAAAAATATTTCTCTTATATTTCTGCTTTAACAGGTTGTTTGGGCAAATACTTATCTAGTCGGATGCGGATATTCAATGTATAAAACGTCAAATAATACTGCCTATCAATTCTATGTCTGCAATTATGGACCCGCGTAAGTTTTCATATAGAAATAATATTTTGAAAATCACATAACAAAGCAGGAGAATTAAAAACACATATAATTATGCAAATAAAAAAATCATGTTGCTTTGCGTTTTCATCATATTATACAAATATATTACATTGACTTCATCTTTAGTTTCCATTAATATATTTCCTCCAAAAAATGTATTGTGTATAAAATATGCTTAGAATATTTAACAAAGAATAGTTTGATCAGAAATTAACTTCATGAAATATTTACACAGTTCCATAAATACATTGTTATAAATATTATACATATTATATTATTTAAAATAATATAATAAATTATTAGATTCCCGTATATTTTATATCAAACTAATACATTATTAATTTTCTGTTTAATAATCAAAGTGGCAACGTATTGGATAAGCTACCTTACATCATTGGCAACCGTAGCTGCGATCATCCTTTGAAAAATTCCGACAAATATCCTAATCTTTGCGGTATGTTTAATAATTAATAATGTTTTATAATTTATTGATAACAAAAAATATCTTTATACTGCATGTAAGAATGTATAATTTATATTTAAAATGCTATTATTTTTATCATTTAATTTATTAATGTGTCATTTATTAATAATTTAGCAATATATCTATATGTGTAGGTTAAAATTATTGATAAGAAAATGAATAACATAATTCAACAGGTGTTAAAGATGTACCAATAAGTTGCCTCAAAAATAATACTGAAGAACTTAATAGCTACAAGAGATCCGCATTCGTCCAAAATGGCCGTAAATTTTTAAACTCTCATCATAATACGCACAAATATAACAGTTCTGTGTATCAGAGAAAAAAATCATTTTGTTCGCGCAAAATGCAAATCAATTTCCTATCAAGAATATTCTGTTGCATAATATTGTAATAAGTATTTTAACGTTTAGATAATTTATTGTAACATAATTCATTATAACAGCATACTAATTTGTGTATAATATATTCCTCTGCTTAATAATATATTGCAAATATGCCATTAAAAATAAATATTATAAACCTGTTAGCATCAAGCAGTTTTTAAAGCGATATTTCCGAGCTCCTCTTCATTCCTGCTCAAACTTTTTTCCAATAATTTCGTTATATTTTGCTAATATAATAATGAAGAAACTTTAATGTATTAAATATAAGTATAACATTAAAACATTTTTTTTTTAATTAATTTTTTAAATAAATTTTTTTAGAACCAAATTTTCAGCTTCTTTAAAAAATTTGAATCTTACTAAAAATTAATCTTAAATATATAATAAAAATCTCGATATATATTGATAATTTTTGATAAAATATTTTTAATAAAAGATTCTCAATGCTTTAAAAAAGTTGCTTGTTTAAATTTAGAAAAAGAAAAGCAGATATTAAGCAAAAATTGAACTTTTCTTTCAATTTAAAAATAAATTAAGATATCGGCAAATATCCATAAAAGCAGACACATTTCATCGATCATCTCTATTTTGAGATATATTTTGCGTGAAATTCTGAATGATTTGCACTTTAAAGTGCAGAATCCTGAGCGATTTATATCAGATATCAGGAATCAGATGGAAAGCTCTTTTAGTTGCTCAGAGATATATTACTTTAAACTATTTTCTATTTTTATTATTTTTATATTTTTTATATTTTATTTAAACTATTTCAGTCAAAAAAATAATGAACAATTTATATAAAAATATATATTTTGTAAATTTCTTTACTTCAAAAGTGTGAAGAAGTGCGAATATTTAAAAAAATGATTAAAATTAAACAGATATCAATATCAAATTCATTGGATATGTAGAGCCCTTAAAATAAACATAGACCAATCAAGTTTATTATTAGTAGTCAAAATATATCTCTCTTATTGTTAATCATTTAAAATAAAGCCAGAATTTAATTCATTATCTATTAATAAATGTAAAAAATTATATACTTGCAATTATGAGTGCGCCTTGCGTAATAAAATCATTTTGCATTTAAAATTGAATATAATATTTCATAAAATTGAATATAATATTTCAATATTATATTTAAAAATATTCATATTTCAAGATCTTCGGATTGAGTTTAATATTTTCGTAATCGGATTATAAAAGTGCCATTAAATTCTTGATTATGGCACTAATTTTAATTTAATCGAAAATATACAACTAAAACAGAAATATTCCAAATAAAGGAAATCAATGATACTCGATGATGAATTGATATAAATTTAATCACAATCATTTATTATTTATTACTTATATACTTGATATCGAGACATATCTCTCTCTCGATCTCTCTCTCTTTCTTTCTCTCTTGTTAGTAAACCTAGTTTTCATTAGTTTTTCTTATTTAATGAAATTTTAAGAAAAAATTTTATAATTTTTCCGTTTCAATTTTTGATCATATTAATCCATATATAAAGTCATAAAATAATAAAATATACAAATATTCTAGTTTCTAAACAATAAAATTCAAGTTTAAAAAAAAAAAAAATATATATATATATATATATATATATATATATAATAATTATGAATATATACATATATATGTAATAAAGGAACAAAGAATGAAGAATTACAATCCTTTTATTAAGGTATACTGTTATTAAGGTATACTGTTTTTATTAAAGTATATTGTTATTAAGGTATATTGTTATTAAGATATACTGTTGCTATCATATATATTTTGAAGAAAGATAAAAGATAAAAATGGAAAAGCAATTATTTATTAATGCTTTTTTTATTATTTAATTTATATTTTTACATTTATTTTACGATATATGTTTTATTAAATAGTAATAGTACTGAAATTTAATTTCAACTTAGAAAAATCTCTGTTCTAAAATATACATACTCTTAAAAAAAAGAGAAAGAAAGAGAAATAATAATGGGCAAACGACATATCTCTTAATATTTATTCTTATTTTAAAATATACATATCCACAACAGCTTAGATACTATTCACAATTAGGTTTTGATTTACAAGTATGTATATCTTTACAATCCGCAGTAAGATAAATTTATCAAAGATTACAACCGCATATTTCATAAGAATTTTAATTCGAAATTATCTAACTATGATTTTCCGGTATACTGTCAAGAATCTGATACTGATCACAGATCGTAGAACATCCTTTTATTTATTGAATCGGACGAAGAATAATGTTTCCACGTATAATTAAGCGCACGATAATCATTTATAGAAAAGTCAGCAACTGTATCATTCAAACCTGACAATTTATTAATCCTTCAAAGGATAATGTTTCCTTAACATATAAGTTTTACACATCCTTCAAAGAATATTTCTAAATGTTTAAGTTTTATTTTTAAACATAGAATATTTAAATAAATATAAAAAAAGCGATTAAAAATGTGCGATTAAATTTTTCTCTTCAAATTATACAACATGAAATTGAAATTTAACACTTTATTGTAATATTTAATAATAAAAATCTGAAATTTTTATTCGACTTTTATACGAATGATTAATCTAATTTCATTTCATAGTAACTCTATATTCAAAATATTTCATTATTGAATTTAAATATTATTATGGTGAGATACATGCGAAAAAAAATGCAATTTTAGTTTGCTTCATCAGAGCATATAATATTTATATAAAAACGTAAGATCTTAATAGAATTTACTTTTCAATACCAACAATTTAAAAAAAACTTTTTAAAAATTTACTAATAACTATATTTAATAAATGCATCACATCATATAAATTAATACATAGTGTATGTATATTAATATATCAAATATATGTTTCAGAATTTTGTTCCTTAATTGTAAATGCATTTAGCATTTTAATACAGCTCATTAAGTATTCATTGTTTAATCATGCCGCATCTTTCATTGCGTGAAAACATATTCTCGTCTACGTCCGCCCGTTACATTAATGATAACAGCACACATTGTCTCAGTAGATACAATTAAACCAGTTTTAATTACGCTATAAATAATATCGAAATAAATTAGATTAGCAAAATCATAAATTACATAAACGGATTCCTCTTATTGTTTTATGCATCAAGGGCAAGATAATTAAAAAATGAATATTTTATAAATTATTTCGCAGTTTATGTAAAATTATGTCAAATTTAAGTATAAAATATCTCATATACTCAACTTTTGGTCATCCTTTTATTACTTTTTATATCAAATTTACACCGATATTACGACATATCGATAAACAGTTTATAAGTAAATACCCAATCCTGATTTTAACTATCTAATTTTAATATTATTTATAAAAATAAAATTAGTAAAATTGTACTAAACCCTGACAATGTTGTTGACCGTGATACTGCGAGATTTTAACGGATAAAAGATTTATCAGCGATGATCACTATGCTATGACGCCAAGGATAAGTCATAAGACAGTCGAGTATGGGAGGGATTTAATTTATTATACTTAATTATTCGCTGTAATATATTAATAAGTGAAGTTCGTAGAATTTCATAAAATAGATTTTAATTCTCATTTGTTTATAGTTTTGTGCATTGGTTAGCCATTATTTCTCTTAGGTCTTCTTCTATTAATAATAATAAAATGAGGTCATTAATGAAAAAACATAAACTCGATGTAAAAGATGATTGAAACAAATCTCTTCAATTTTTAAAGTAACTTGTCTATAATAATATACCTAATATACCTAAAAATAAAATATATATAAATATATATATTTTAAATATTTTCATTATAGTTAATTTCCGATCAAACGTTTAACAAAAATCTTTTTAATACCTATGAAGAGATTTAAATCCTGAAAAATAAGAATCTCGTCTCAATAATAATTAGTAATATTATATTAAAGTATTACACAATAAATATATATGCAACAATATATTGTTAATAAAAACCAATCTACAGAATATATATATGTATATACATCGAGTTTATGTTTAAGTTTTTCTCTCGTACCATTATAGGTGATGAAAATAATTTTTCGTATGTTCATATACTTGTGGTAGCACATACTTAGATACTCGTAGTAATATTAAAAGTTATATAAAATCACAATAATGACAGTGATAGTAACCAATAGTGATAACAGCAAGTGCAGAATAAATCAAGACAGATATCGTGATGTACAAAAATCAAGAGTTATTGAGCTGTGAATATTTGCGACGGATTTTAATTACATACTATATATCACACATATGCAACATATGTATATACATTTATACGTATAAAAAGAATTGTCGATATCTCGGGTTGCAAAATGCAAATGTTATATAATAGTATCTGTTAAATATCTCTTCTGAAAACATGTTCGCGATATTAAAAATCGTGAGTGCATAGAGTGATTATTGTATTAAATAATTCATCATTCGATAAAAAATGACTCTCGATAAAATTATGTATTTTTTCCTGCGAAAATATAAGCAAGAAAAGATATAAAAATTGCTTATAGGACGGCCGCAAGATGTAATCGCAAAGAAATGGCTCTGCATACGGACATTAAATCAGATATAGTATTTTAAAATTTATTTTTTTTTGCTATATTCCATGCTATGAATTTATATTTATTTTATGTATATGTATATGTAATGCTTTTAAGTCGACTCTATATTTGCAACTTTATTTTTTTTATAAGTCAATTTTAACTTTGTATTTGCAAGCAATTTGAAGTGAGAAAATTTTATATTCATAGAGAGAGTTCGCTCGCAATTCAACAATCGTCGATGTTATCTCAAGCTTTTCACAACCTGATGAATATTAAAGTAATCGTGAATTCAATTATATAATTTATAATTGTTCTTTTCACATAATTTTAAAAAAAACTTAAAAATTTGCAAACACTTCAACACCACAAGAACTGCAAGTTTTATAAAAAAGATTATCTTTCTTAACAATTTATTTTATTTTCAGCGACATAAGTTTTCTTTTGGCTATTCAATTATCAAGAGATTTTACTTTATAATTCGTAAAATTAAAATTTTTGAAATTTAGTTATTTAAATATCAAATATTTCGCAGAAATATTAGTTGTTACATTCCAGTAAAAACTAATATTTATTGAAAACTATCTATTAGCTCTTAAATATTTAGCTACCGAAAAATCTGCGATTAGGATTTTATTATATTTATAATTTTATCTGACTATTTTCTAATGAACATAAAGCTATCAAAAGTTAATTCACACTTTATGCAGCAATCTAAACTTGAGGATATTGTTCTATAAATTTAATAAGTTGATCGAAAATTTATTATTTACTAGCTTGAAAAATACATCCTGATAAATTATGGAAAAACTTCAACAGAAATCATACCTGAAAAAGGAAACAAAATTTTAGAAAATAAATTTGTGATTTCTTCACAAAAATTCATAAAGAAAATTTTTCTTTTCTATTTACATCTCTATTATTGATAGATCAGACACGGACATTACGAGCTATAAATACATTTCTCTGTGCAATTCCATAGATTCATTACTCTTTTTTTTATTTAATCTGTACGTACTATTTTTATATACATAGCTCTGAAAGCTCTATTAACACATCGACACTCAATAAAATATTAATAATGATAATATCAGAATGAGTTTGCACTTATGCTTGACTTTCTCAACTGTAAAATACACTAAAACAAAACTTTATGCAGGTTTTTTGAAAAATATACTATCTTGTTTACGTATAAATTAAATAAACTAGTGAACAACTTAATATTGCTACATAAATTGTCAAAAAAGAATTAAATAAAAAATTGATATCTTCCTAGAGTACATCAAGTATATAATTTTTTGCCACTCGACTAAAAAATAATGAAAATTATTAATTGCAAAAAGCAACCTAAGAAAAAAGTAATGCATCATTTAGCTATAGAAAAATCACAATGTTACATAATGTATATTATTTTAATTCATGAACAAATAATAATATATTTGCATAAAATCCATAAATGCGCGCGCGCGTGTAATATATGTTGTTCATAAATATATTGCATATAATCAGTTTATTTATATACAATATACACAATATCCGATATTTATAAAAAAATTTAAATTGGCAGTTGCAATTATCGAATTTTTACAATGTTATATCTTTTATGCAGTGAAATTTCATGATATATAGAAAAAAAAATATTTAAAATACAAAAGTATAAAAAATATATTAATCAAAAATTTGAAATTATAAATAGTAAAATTCATAAAGCAAGCTATTGAAAATGTACAATTTCCCGATAAACGATGGATCTATATTCAAGAGACGATTGTTTCTCCGTAAAAAAAATTTTGATAAATATTTACATTAGTATAATACCATTGTTTAATTAACAATAAATGATAATTAAATCTTTTGGACATTATTCTGTTAATAATTTTAATAACATACATTAAGGTCAAATCTCTGTGGGTGTGTTACATTAATAATAACTTTAAACTAATTTCTATTAAAATTTTTTAGCATCTTTCTATGCTTATATTAATGTAAAAATGCTCCAATTCTCGCAATTTGTTCGCAAATCAATCAAACATATTGAATTTTTATATAAAATATCGAAAACCTTTATATATCAAAATTTATTCATCTATAAAAAATCGTTGTAATATATAAAAATATATATGTATGATATGTGAGAAATACGAGAAATGTTTTCATTTTTACCAATATATGATTATGATAAATATTATGGCAAACGCAATTAACTGATTTAAATACTGCATAAAATCATAAGAAACATTTAACAATATTCTTTTCTTATATTTTACATCAATTCCAATATATATATATATATATATATATATATATATATATATATATATATAATATTAATTGTATATCTGGTGAGATCTCTATAAATATCTCTATAAAATTCAAATATATATAACTTTTTTTGCTATGTAGCACTGCAGTCTCTCTTTCAAAGTATTTTTTTTCTATTTGATAAAGACCATAATCTGTATAATCCAATTTAATAATAATTCTCTTATCAATTAAGATAATTATTTTTTTTTTCTAAATAAGACTTCATTAAACGCTGCAGATCGGAATAAATTTTTTAATAATTCTAATAATTTAACAAGTTCGATTCTCCATTTTATAAGGACTTTTATATTGCATAAAAGAATTATTTAATCATATTTTATTATATTACATTCTTTGATCTGTCAAACTCCACCAGATAAATAAAATTTCAAGATTAATAAGGTTAAAGGAACTTATTTTAAAAAAAAACCTGTCATAAAATGTCAAACATTTTAAAAAAAGTTTATTTTATAAATTTGCTAGTGTAAACAAAGTAATTCTCCTTATTATTTTGTGTTTTCAATTAATATCATTAACTACAATTGATAATTATAATAAGAAGGAGGAATCTATTCAATAAATTTTAGATTGTCTGTTTTATGGATCAAGATCTTTTCGAAAAACTTTTTTATTTTGTGTAATTTTTCTGTAATAAAAGAAAGAAGATGAACATCGAGAAATATGTTTTAATGTATATTTTTGATAACTGTCATTATCAAGAATTTTCCCAGAATTATATGCATATATATATCATCTCTTCTATTTACTTGCGTAATTGTATAACTGGTGTTATAAAGTGCCAATATGTCCGTTTTAATTAAAGTTACAATTGCTACGATATTGAACATCTTTATAGAAATTAATGCAAAATAATCATGTCGTTTAAATTAAATATGCAACAAAAACCTATTTATATTTCAATTTATTATACTTAAAAGAATATATCAAAGAAATCAATTTATTTTTATTTTATCTATTATATTTCATTATATAATAGATAATATAGATAAGAAGAATAAGAATAAGAAAATTGATAAATCCTTTCTTTATATCTCTTTTCACTCAATGATGAATACATGTACATATGAATATTATTTGTCAATAATTGCTTTGCAGTTGTACGACGAGCGTACTTAAAACAAATTTACTGGCCTCCTACTCACCAACCATACAAGCTATACAAGCTAAGCATTTGGATAAATAATAAATGTAATTACAAAGGCCTAACTGTCGTTATTTTAGAATTTACATAATTATATCTCTCGTTATTTCAGAATTTACATAATTATATCTGGTGCATATACGTTGGGGCCATCGTGAAAATTATTATAACCTTTGCTAGAACCTCATACTCGTATCATCCGTTGGCATTAATCGTTTATGATTTAACAAACACATACACTCAATTGGTTACTATACACGTATCGGTAGAAACATTTAAGTTAGCAATAACAAATCGTCGATAAATGTCCATTTTCTCTCTTTCTCTCTTTCTTTCGCTTTATAAAATAATTGCGCACAGACGGCATTTCATAATTTGATATAACATATTTATATAGTATCAAAATAAATAATTTCAATACCATTGATTCTGTTTCTATATCAATTGATCGCATCGACTTAGCTATGACGAATCATTTCTGGGCATTCTGCAAGCTACAGATTTTGTACTTTTCCTTGATCAATCTATAATTACACTTTCTATGCACATGTAATGTGTATTCAATCAAAGGCTGTTTTTTCTTATCGCAATTTCATGTCATCTTCATGATACCCAACTCGAAATGGCCAAGACGATTCTTGAGTTCTTGAAATGTTTTGCGGATTCATAATTTGTAGTGAAACTCACAATGCATCTCATTCACTTCACGCAGTCGATAAAGCAACCAGTAACTCGTACATTATTTATGGCAGGGATTGCTACAAGTTAATTTTCTAGCAACTGCTAATAATATCGTTACTTTCCGGTAACAGCCTGGAACCTTGGTAGGCAAAGACCGAACTTGCTTTCTATACCCGTAAAGATGGGCAGAGCTACTTGGTAGCCACCTATATGATCTGGATTCGTTGATCGAATTTCATCTGCAACTCCCATAGTAGGCACCTTTTGTTCCGATCCTGTAGGTCGACTATAAATAACATTAAATATTGTATACATTTGTGTTTTAAATACAGATATATATGTACACATACATACACAGGGTGTTTCATATAAAGTATTGTAAGATGCTTTCTCCAAAATTTAACATTGTATATAAATATCTCAAATTTACAGGATTTTAAGAAAAAAAAATTAATCTTGAATTTTAACTGATAAATTTTGTCTAAAACATTTTCTTGTACTTGTATTTCAGAAAAATATCTTGTATTAGCAAATGTAAATTTAAAAAAATATATTATAATTAAAATTATATTAATATTATATTTAATATTATATTTTCTAATAATTGCTCTCTTAATAAGGTCTCTTAAATTATATACTTACGACCCTCCAAAATCGACAACGAACAACCTTTGCAGCAACTCATACGTGAAGAGAGTAACACCAAACTGCGGTGATGATCTGAATACTCGAGCTGGAAAAAAAATTAATAATCTTGAATATATAATTTTGAATAAAATCGTATGTACGTAATTTTATATTCTTTGTCAAAAATAAAGATTTAAAATGTTTCAATGATAAGCATGATGGCTGCCTATTTTCTTTTGAGAAGAACAAGACAAAATGGGCATCACAAAAGTGATATTTATATAAAAAATTTTTTATTTATATATAAATTATATTTATATACGCCCGTGCATATACAGTTTCATGCAACTGAGCGAGACTGTCGCTTTAAAACGAATGTAGATAGAAGAAAAAAATGTCAAGGTAAAATTAAATAATTTTAAACACTTCACATTCTTTATGTGTCTTTTGTAACCGTTACATTATTTTGATTAACGTGTTACATTTTTAATAATGTTACATCTTTTACATAGATGCAGTTGCAAAATAGAATTGCACTTTTTTTAATAAGATTTCATACGTTTGTATGTATTAGTTATGATAAAGTTTTTTACTCTACAAGAAACTATTAAAGAATTACACTTAAAAATTGTTAATTTAAAAGCTGTTTCAGTATTTGATTCTTCTGAGTAGTATAAAAAAAGACAAATCAATCTATTGAGAGTGCCAAATATTATTTTGTAAACCTAAGTTAAAATAACTTATTTAAATTATAAAAAAATACAACTATGAAAAAGTTATACTTTTTAAGCAAAAAGCTGCATCGAATTAATACACTAATGCATCAAAAAAATGTAAAATCTCATTTTTTTAAAGAAGTGCAATTACATTACACTGCACTTATATACAAAAATGCGTAAAAAAAAAAAAAAACAGAAATATGAAGCATCTAAAATTATTTGATTTTGCCTTATGACATTTTCCTATCTCTAATTGTTTCAAAGCTATTCCGCCCAATTACGGAAAACACTTTATACAATCACATATATTTAATTCTTAAACATTTTTTACAATGTAATTATTTTCAATTATTATGCGGTTAATTTCACGAGATATCTGTAAATAAATATTAGCTAAAGTTAAGAAAATGCTAGTCAATAAAAAATTTAATAAAGAAGTAAATAAAGAATTGAATGAACTTGATGCACAATATGTAACTTAAAATAAACTACACACATATCTGCATCATTATAGAATATACATTAAAGAAAAATTAGATAAGTAAGATTAAGAGTTCCTCCTTTTTTAAATAAATATATATATTGTAATAATTAAACAAATACATATACTTAATATAAATAATAATTGTGATAAATTAATGCAATTATAATTATTTTTTGTTTTCAACTGAATAAATAAAATGTACATCAATGTATTACATTAATCATAATTCATAATATAATTTATTCAATTGAATTATTTTCTGTTTGGACAAAAACGAACGAGTGTCAATTTTGTCTTCACAAATACTTTCTTTTATTGTCAATATAATGCAAGAGATAAAATTCATATTATCCTTCTTTTCAGAGATAAAACAGATGTAATATCTCATTCCTCTAGATAAAAATATGAAAACGCCTTTATAATACTCTCTACAATGTATTACACGTCAGAAAAGATTTATAGTTTATTGACCTGCATTTTCAGAGTTACAGCTGAAAATATGCGTGAATATAAGATGTTGTGAAATACGTTATATTCGATGATCATTCTGAATACAAAGAGTAAGTATGTTGACTGCGAATTGGAAAAAAAACGAGAACACAGGTAGTCATAAACGAAGAGAAGAGGTACTTACTGATAAGTAAATCGCCAAGTCATATGGAGGAGGAAATAAGGTCGAAAGATGCAGCAGGGTTGATCCCCCGCGCATGCAATCGACACAAAAGCAGAATATATTACTAGCTATATTTTTAAGATTGTAACAAGGGAATGAGAAAAATCCCATTTTATTTCTGCTTCTTACAGAAAAGATTATATAATCAACTCGATCACTTATTCCTCTCTGTGACAGAGATCATCATATGTATATTTCTAGACCAGCAAATCCTATTTTTAGATAGAAAAAATTATTCTGTTTACTAGCTTACTTTTTTTTACTTTTTAATTTTTTTTTACGACAGCCATCCTACTGATATATGAAGCGTATGATATCAGTGTGTTCATATATCTTTAAAAAAAGCTTTCCACTTATGCAAGGATAATAAAGATATTAATTGTTCCAAGAACTTCATCCATAGAAAATGCATAAGAAAATATACCTGTCGCGCCTTTCCAGAAAGCTCTAGCACCCTCCTCCTTGTAAATTTTTCTGGCACAATCCAGCAGTCCGTTATATGTAGTTTGACCTTCTCTAGCTACGACCTAAATCACACGTAAAAACAGAATCATAAAAAAATTGTGATATTTTTAAAATCGACGATAAACGCACCTGCAATCTTGTTTTAATCACATCTGCGGGAGTGACTAACGCTGCTGCAGGAACGCCAGCGATCGCACCGGAAAAGAGAAGCGACAGTGGCGTATTGTAACCCCCCTCGTCGGCCAGTCGCGCTTTCGTGTGAGCATACATAGGAAAATAAATGGCGCTAAATGGTACGTCTCGTAAAAAGCAGGCTCTGGCACCCTATAAAAAAATTGCAGCTTTAGGATCGCAAGTTGTAAAAAGAAAGAAAATCACAGATGTATTAATAAAAAGTCATTATTGCTACTCACTTTGTACAATCCAAATAGACCTAATTCCTTGACAACGGTCCACGCTCTAACCTTCGATCCTCCTGCGATTTCTCCGGCTACTTGTAGCCGAATCTTTACGATCTCCAAAGGATTGGTGAATATGACCTGCGACCCTCCGGCCTGAAGAAAAAAAATAACACCTTGTTGCATAAATACCTTATTTGTTCTCCGATTACCGAAGTGTGCGATAAGAGTACGAGTGCGACCATCTAAATTCACTGTGATATCGCATTATTTATATCTCTTGTATTTGACATTGGGTTCTGCTCCTCCGCTCATCTTGTGTTTCATTCTAAAGTTCACGTTTCGTCTAGTTGGGAGCTTTAAAGCACTAAGAATATGAGATATGATATGAACTACTCACACAGGCGCCAGACATAATTTCTCCGTAAAGTGGTAAATTTCCATTTTTATCCATAAACTTATCCCTGACGAAATCGTTAACTGTAAGTTTAATAGCTTTTTCCGGGGCTACACCCATTAACTGAGGCATTAAACCTCGATAAAGGCCAAAAATGCCCTCATGCCGGATAACCTGTCAAACGTAAAACACCAGCTTTATGATTAACAATGCAGAGAGTGTTACACGGTGAGACTTTTTGATTCCAACCTTTTTCAAGCAGTCAAAGCTGTTTCTGTACATCAGTTCGCCTATGAAAGATCCAGTCCTTTGATTTTGCATTCTGGTCTTCACTAAATCGATAGGATATACAGCCGTAGCACCAACAGCTATAAAACACAATTACTCTATTTAATATATTATTTCAATTGTAAAAAGTAATTTTTATTGCTAGACAAAATATAAATTTACAAAAAGCAGCTACATATTTTTTTTTAAATAAGTTCTTTTTATATTAATTGAATTTTCTGTCCATTTATTATTTTTCCATAAAAGTATTGAGGCAAAATAATGGAAAAATGAAAATTTTACAAGATATTTCATAATTTATATAAAATTATGTCAAATTAAAATATAAAATATCTCGTAATATATATATATATTCAACTTTTGATTCTGCTCTTATAACTTTTGATGCCAATTATTGCGAGAAATTAATTTGTATAAAGAAATTAAAATGACTATTTAAAAAAAAAAATTAGGTTGAGAGACCTTTACATAATTTTGAAAAATAATCTTAGTTAAAATTAAAAATTATCAACTTTTTTCTCTCTCAAAATTCAATAAACTTTGTTTGAAACATCTTTTTGTACAATATCAAATTTCAGAGAAAACACTTTATAACACTTAATGAAACAAGCGAGAAATGAATGAGAAATTGTATTCTCATCTTTAAAATCTGTTATTGTATTAGTAATTAATAATATTATATTAAAATAGAGAGTTAAGAAAGTTGTAAAGAGAAAATTTTTATATGTACCTCCACCAATAGAACCAAGTACAAATCGATAACCACTCTCAAGCATTTGCACGATAATACCGCGTTCGTCTGGACTCTGTAAGACAATAAAAAGTGCTTGCTAAATTAAACATCTAATATTCTCATAAAATATTTGGCATAAAGAATATGTGACAAATTTTTTGAATTTTCACAAGATTCTTCCATCGCTACACTTACTGACACCGCTTTAATTGCGGCAACCCGTTTTGTAATCTGCTTGAAATACTGCTCAGGTGTAATAGCCACAAGATCATTATACACAATCTTCCTGAAATATAAAAAATGAAATACGAATTTAGTATATGCATCAAAGCTGTGATAAGAGAGCATAAATATAAAAAACGATATATGAATAAACTGTTAAAAAAACAGATATATTGGCGTTGATGGTATTGTTTGAAGCAATAAATAGAATCCTGCCAATATGATCCATCATGTACCCTTAGATCGTATCTATCGTAATAGAAGATAAAATAATGGAATCGTTAGTATGTCCATGGCGTGCAAATATTTATATTTGCGTACACCACCGTCCTAAGATAGACGTTGAGGAAAATAGGTGAGAACAAAAATGTTGAAATACGTATATATGTATATATATATATATATATATATATATATATATATATATATATAAAACATGTTTGTAGCACGTGATAGTCTGTAATACAAAGACGCACCCAAGCCGCGAATCTGCTTCGTCATCTTCCGTAGGTCTGATCCAGGCAGCGTAAACACGTAAACAAACGTTTTCAATACAGCTTGCCTTAACATTGTTCAATTATTGAAGAAATAATAATTAAGCACACACTGTAGGCATAGAAGGCGATTAGAAATGATTCATTCAAGAAGATAGTTTCCATCTTCCTTGCCAAGAACGAGACATACTTGACATTTGGAGGATGACGATGTGCTTGCTGGTGCAGATAGCATTACGTGACTTGTTTTCTTATTTATCGTACTGATCAAAATCGACGTGGAAATAAGTCGCTATTCAATTAATAAATCACAATTTTGAAATTAATTGCTAAAGTGATTGCTCCATTCCACGTGATTTTCTCTCGATCAATCAACAAAAAAAAAGAATATTTCAAATCGAAGATACTCACCCAGTTTGATGAAGTAGGTCGCAAAGATGAAATAGAATATCAACCTCTAATGGAGTTATTTGGGACATCATTTGTGCAGAATAAAGGAATTCCTCTGGCAAAAAGAAAATAATGTTTACATATTTACAATAGAGTATTAATATCAAATCTATTGATCTACTGAAATCAATTAAAATTGGCAAACGATAAAACAGTGATCGAATGATTATAAAAATATATTTATTATATTAATTTATTATATTAATATAAAAAAGTATTTGTTTCTTTTTTATATGGCTCTAAAGATTGATTTACAATGCGCTCTTTGCTTCTTATTTCTTGCTTTTTGCTTGTTTTTTTTTCTCTGCGCATTGACAATCATTGAAAATCGTTTTTTCACATGTCATGTGTTTCTTGTCTTTTTTGCAGTTCAATTTTCATCTCAAACGATAGAAAACAAAAAAAAGAGTACAAAAGTACAGAGTATAAAGTAGAAAGATAAAAAGGCAATAGGCAAAAAGTAAAAAATAAGATACAAAGAGCACATTATAAATGAGCCTTTATATCAATAAAAAAAAAACTTTGATCAAATTTATTTTGATCAATTTTAATAATATTATATTAATAGTATTAAAAAATAGTATTCATTATATATATCTTTAAAATAAATTGTACCTTTGGTGACTTCTTGATATCTGTGACCATTGGTCGCATTTAGATAGATACGTTTAATAAGTTCCATGTTGTTTAGAAGAGAGTTAAACGCCATAAAATATGGAAAACTGACTTTTCGTCCGCTTTGGCCTGTACTAACTGCCTACAATCAAAGTAAAAATAAAATTCTTTCTACATGTTAAGTATTCCAACATTTTAACTATATTATTACATTAACTATTATTTTAACATTTTAATTATATTATTAAGTATATAATTTAATTAATATTCTTCTTCCTAAATTATGAAACATTATGAAAACTTAATTCACTGCAAAATCTTTCATTTATATGATACTTACAGCTACTAGATTATCTTTCACATCTTTTGTGAGTAAATGACTTTTAATACTGAGCATAATATCTTGAAAGTCTAATGCTGAAATAAAACCCGCGCCATCCTTATCGAATTTCTTGAAAGCTTCTGTTGCATATTCTTCATGAAAATCCTAAAGACAAATAATATTTTAGCGTTAAATCTTATTCTATTATCTCTCTATATAATTTAGTTTCATATTTATAAATATTTCTAACAAATTTACATAACATCGCAAAAGTTAAGAAACCAGGAATAAAAATAATCATCTCTATAAAAAAAAAATACTTTAAACAATTTGATTTTATGTTTTTGTGTCTTTGTATTTTGTATATAAGTCGGGGTCAGCTAAATTTCATAAAATACTTAAAAAATTTCGAGATAAGAAATGTTATTTTACGATTTTCCAAGATATCAGTAGAGTTATACACATATAGTTATTGCAAATAGTAAAGCAAACGTATGCTATGTTTCATCATCACTTGTTACATCATACTTGGCTCGTTTCTTAGCAAACTAAATCTGCAAACAAGTGTAAAATACTTACATGCAAAAATTGACTGAATTCTGCATAACTAATTAATCTCTTCTTATCTTTTCCGAAGTAAAGTTTAATAAAACTACTATCCATATTAAAGGGCATTTTTTGATGTAATACAGTTTTCCGCATCACCTCAACGAACTCATCTGCAATTTGGGAAAATAGGATATATACTCATATGAAATACATATATATATTTAAAAAAAGAGTTCTTTTATATAATCATTCTTACCAAATGCAACCATTCCATTTCCATTAGTATCAAAGAGTTGGAAAGCTGTTTTGTATAAAGCGTCTGGTACACAGAGAAGACCTTCGAATGCTTGAAATTCAGCAAACGATATGAGACTAAAATATAAAAGAAAAAATCAATTATTTAGAATAAATATTATTCCATTACAAAATATATTATGAATAAATAATTCTTCATATTATGAAATATATTTGTTCTTCTTTCTATTTCATAAGTTATTTATAAAGATAACCGACATAACTAAGATAACACGTACGTGTGTGTACGTGCGTATGTACTATTATATAAAATGTAGATAGTTTAAGAACTTTTAAATACTTCAAAAAGTATATATATATTTTCGAAAAAATATAAAAATTATATTGTAAAAAAGTTTTAACATTTTAACAATGCATAGAATGGAAATATAAGTATGGATTTTGGCGTAAAACACATATATAATATTTTATATTAATCATATATTAATAATTCAATATATGATTAGAGATGAAAAAGAATCATTTTTTTTTTATAGAAAATAAATGTTGATAGAAAAAACATAATTCTTTATTTTGGTAAAAGAAACAAATTTAGTTCATTTTTCAATATTTTGCATAAAAAATATAAAATCAATAAAAAAATATAAAATCAATAAAATTAAGCAATAAAAAATCAAATAACATTTATATGTAATTGAATAAGATTTAGATTTTATAAAAGATATAAGATTTGTAAAAAATATTATTTTAGTATTGAAAATATGTTTCTTAAATTTTTAAACATTTATTTTTATTCACACATACATATTTAATATCATTGAAATAAATATCTCTTTTATGATGATTTTATATTGACTAATAGTATCAGAAATTCAATCTCATAATATTGTAGATACATCAGTACTCTCATAATGTTGTAGACAATTAACTTACCCATCTTTGCTAGTGTCGACGATACCAGCAAGTAAATTGACGGAATCAGGATCATAATCAGCATTTGTATAAAGACCGAGATAACTGCGTACAAAATCAGATGCGGTCATAAATCTCTCGCCATTCTTTTCCTGCGATGCATACTGTAATTCAAGAATATTAAATTATCGTGTGCCATCTAAAGATATTAATATTGTAAATTTATATTGTAATTCAAGAATATTAAATTATCGTGTGTCATCTAAAGATATTAATATTGTAAATTTGTAATTATGATTAAAAAAATAATTGCAATCAATAAAAAATATGTATTAAAATTTATTATAAATTATAGGTATTATAGTAAGTGTAATATAATAGTTAAAAACATTACAAATATGTACCGAAAAAATTGTATTCTCGAAACATATACGCCTTATAAACCTTTTTAATAAATATTTTAAAAATAAAGGATATTTCCTTCTCCCCGTGATATTTTTTGAAATATTCTCTTAAATTAAGAATAAATTAAGAATAATAATTCTCTTAAATTAAGAATAAATTAATAATTCTCTTAAATTAAGAATATATTTTTAATTTAATGCAACTTTACGATAAAATTCTAAAGATATTAATATTGTATATTTGTAATTATTTGGTTATAAAAATAATTGAAAACAATAAAAAAATATGTACAATAATTTATTATAAATTAAACATTTTGCACATATGTGCGACATTTATACAATACATACCGGTATGTATTCAATACCTGTTCGATATATATGGTATTACTGGTTTGAAGAATAGATAAGGAACTGATTAACAATAAGTGGCTGGAAGAAAAAGATCTGAGCGATTTAACGAGATATTGATAAGTAAGTATTTGAAATATTTGAAATAAAAATACTCACAATTACTAATTAAGTCTTTTAATACTCACACTTTCTAATTAGGTCTCTCAATAAATAAGATAGAGTAATAATGATAGTAAAAAATAATAAAATAATGATAATAAAAGATATTGTAAAAATAAACGAAATAAACGAAATAAACGAAATTTTATAAATGAGAATACAATTCTTTCGGTAAGACGTTGTCAAAAATTTCATTCATTTAGCGTATATTATTTTTTTACAATCACACATAATGCGTCTTCGATTATACATATTTTCCGGAGAAAGAACGTAAAATATATCAAAAGAAAGTATTTTAATAATAAAAAAGATGTAAAATATATAAAATTTTCTTGCAAAAATATTTCTGTAAAAAATTGCTAGAACTTATTCAAATTTATTCGAGGACTTTCTATTTACTTACCTGATTAAAAATTTCATGGAGGCGGTCAGTATTTGCACGCTTCAAATATCCGGAACCCTGAAATATAATACATGAGAAATAAGAATAAAGAAATAAGAATAACTCCTACATATCCAGAACTCATTATATATATATAATTACTTAAAAAAATTTTTACATAAATAATAAAATATATAAAAACATTTTATAAATTTTAAACACGGTTCTCTTAAAGTATTTAAAAAAATGAATTCATAGTGAGGTTTATATGATCTGAGACTTTCAAAATAAATTTTGGAATTGGTATAAGAAATATCAAATTATTTATTAATTTGTTATATTTTTCAGTCATATATTATGTATATCATTATAATAAAAATTATTCACAAATTCTATGTGGAGTGTGTGTATATATGTATGTATATATACATTCATCTATATAAAAACAGATATTTATATATAAAAAAATATATATCTTCTTTGATAAATAAAAAATATACAATTTGTACATATATATATGCATGTATATATTTATTTTAATCGCCCCAAAGCAAATATCTCGAAAAATATGAAAGATAGGGAAAAATGTTTCAGACAAATACAGCAAAAAGACAAAAGCAGAAAATAACAAATTCTAAGATAAATATTTAATTTTATAATACAATCAAATCCAAAAAACATATTATCAAGATCATCCTGAATAATCTTCAAAAGATTCTCTTCTGTCCATCGTTTATTAAAAAATCATTAACAAATATTAATCTATGTAAACGAGAATAAATGTGACTATGCAAATCTATGTAAACGATAAATTACAAACACAAATCTATCTAGAGATATGAACGAGATATGAACGAGATATAAAATGACAATGAATAATTCAATATCGGTTCAAATTTATCACTATGTACATGCAACAAACACAGAGTTTTTTATGTCAAGGATTAAAAAATATCAAAAATTGAAGAATATAAAATATGATTATACGTAATCCATATCAAGTATTGCCCAGGCAAAAACGAGATCTATATTAAAAATTGGAGAGAAGAAACTAGAATTTATGTGTGATACATGGAACAGATTGTTAAATTCGATTTTTTTTTAATAACAGCTAGTATTGTAGTACTAGTTTTAAGATTTTTAATATTGTCGAAATAATGTTAATGAGTCAGTAGACATTTTTGTAGTAAATATTTTATAATATATATATAAATATATATTTTATCATTTTCTACATTCAAAACTAGAAAAAATCATTGTTATATTTTCTGTCGTATCTCTAAATTTGTTTATTATATCAAAATTAATAATATCCTTTTAGAAATTAGTTTATAGCTTATAATTTCTATTTGTATTGACCTTCTAAAAATTGTATTTTTATTTATAGATGGTAATTATTATATAGAACATATAATAATATTATAAGTATGTCAATCATACTATAATTGTGATAAGATCGATTTGATGACATAATCACAAGAATGTCAGATGTTTTGATTATCTCGGAAGATATAACACGAACAAAAGAAATATCGCAAACGAAATATTGCAAATAGAATACTCGATGAAATTCTTAAGAAGGAAGAAGAATTCTTAAGAAGAAACCTGAGTTATAAAAGAAGAAAATAAAATTTAATATGGAAACTCATAGTGTCTTGAGAACTTATTAATATGAAAAAAATAAACACAATAAACACAATAAATTCAATATCACTTTACGAGCTCAAGTCGTGATTCTATCTTTTAATATAAAGCATGTCAGACATCGATCGCTTGCAATTTATCTATTATACTACCTATTATATATTAGGAAGACTCCTCATTCATAGACATATATAAATTGCACCTAAACATCTGCATTCCGCAAGTCGATTAAAATTATTATTTTTGATTTCAAAATATTCGCATGCCGTACGTAGGACAAAATACAATCATGACGTATATCGTCAACTACATATTTATAAGTCAATTAAAATGATAAAAGCTCGTATTTGTTTATTACTACGAGATTAAAAATGTTATGAATTCACCCTGAACAGATTAAATGTATTTGTTCACATATTCTTATCAGTTTCTAATTTCAAGATTTGAAATATGATGGAATTATATAAGAAATGCAATGCATGAAAATTATAGTCTTTAATCGATATTACTTCATTTAATTTAATGACACAATTTCGTTTAAATATCTGTTGATATTATCAATATATAGAAAAATAGATAAGAAAGAAATTATACAAAGTATCTGTATATTTAAATAAAAAATTTCTGACCTTCTAGGTATTGTTTTGTTCAAAATTCGAGCTAAAAAGAGAATATTTTAAAGATTTTTTGATACATTTTCTAACGTTTTTTATTTATACGAAAGAAAAACAGAACTTCTTAAATGCAAGATTTATAAATATAATGAAAAAAATTAAGAAACTCTTACGAGATAAGCATTTTTCACTTGTGTAATTTTCCTTTTTTATCACTAAATATTCCAATAAAGAATATGTGTTGGATATTCAAATTTGTTAAATCATTGCATGTATAAATAAAAATAGATATATATATTTAGAAATTTTAAACACATATATATTTCTCGATTTTCTAGCTGTTTACAATATGAGAGCAAAATTATCGAAAAGCGAATTTTTCAAAAAATAAATCCCAATAAAATTCCTGAGAATTCCAGAAATTTTATTTTTCCATATTTTCTCACGTTTCTTAAGAAGAGTAAACCCCTTAATTATTACATGCAAATAATTTCTGTACAAATTTTTTCGCATATTGTTAACAGCAACAGGAATATTTCAGGCAAATAAATAAACGATGGAAATTGTGATACACCACTGAAAGACTGACAACAAATTGGGAATCCGTAGGCAAGTGGGGAGCTTTTCTCGCCTCGTGTATTCGGCACTGCCTTAATTCAAGGTCATGCCTATCGACGACAAGAAACACGTCCTTCGCGGCGCAAGTACACCTACTCTCGTGGTTGGCATTGCTGTTAAGCTAAGCTGAGATTTTCGATTCTTTGGCTATCGGCGATGATAACGAACGAAGGTGATTACATCGGGAGATCACGTGCAAAAAAGTCGCGCGTCCGCGCGCACCACACAGCTGTTAACTTCCTGAGTATCTCTGACGCAAAGGCGTGCTTGAGTACACGTGTGTGCCGTGTAAAAAGCGATGAGTAACGAAGAGAATGCGACAGGCACCGGACAAACGCGATCAGCACGCGAACGTCACGAGGGGACTGAATGTTAGCTGCTGATACGTGAGAGAGGAGACTACTATATCTCTATCCCCTCCTCATACTTGTTAATTTCGTCTCTCTCGTTTGTTGCTACCGCTCGTTATTCCCTGACCGACTGACTATTGTATCTTTCCTTGTGCTCTCTCTCATTTTCGTAATATTTTATTTCCTGGTATCAATTCTCTATAACAGAAAGTATGTAATATTATTTTATCTATATCTCGTAAAAAATGCATACGTAATATCAAATGAAGCATAAATAAGGCAGACTCTTTTATGCTTTTTATCGTTTTCAAGTACACTATGATTAATCTATTTCTTTTACGTAATTTAAGTCAGAAGAAAAACAAATTAAAATGTCTGTATTAATAAATGAAAAATTAATAATTCCAAGTAATTTTAAATTTGATCATTTTTTGAAGAAAAAGATTTTCTTAATGGATGATATACGTTTTATACAAAATAAAAATTAAAATACAACATTATATTTTATTTAAATTAAATTTCTTTTACGAGTTGAATTATGTATGCTAACTTTAAAATGTCGTTTTCTTTAAAATTATATTTTTAGAACTAGTTGGCATAACAACCTCGGGAATAAATATAAATCGACTTCAAATTTAACATTTTCTGTAAAAAATATATTATTTGCTCGGACTATAATATATATCTTTGTATTAATTAATTTTAAATATTACAAAGAGACGAGAAAAACTAAACAAAATTGATGTTCGTTTTTAAAATGCCTTTTTTTAATTTTTAATATTTTTCTTTTTCTACAATTCAGAATATAATCATATTTATACAAAATAAGAAAATTATTTTTTTTGTCTTATAAAGATTAATATTAAAAAATTAACTTTTCTAATAAAAATTATATTTTTTCTTTCAGATTAATGCAAAAAAATATTATCAATTTTTGCATTCAGAACATATTACGCAAGCAATATCCTATTATCTATCTATAAAATAAACATGTTCAGTGCAAAAATGTTTATACTTTTTTAAAGTGCAGATAAAAATTATCATCAAATTATCAATGAATATGTTTATAACAGTATTCTCTTTAAAAATATCCAAAATTAGCTCCTATATGGGAATTCGGATAAAATCGTTTACAATCTTTTAAAGGTCGAGATCATGACTTTAACAACAAATCTCATCGAGGTCATTGATCATTGGTAGAGGATACGAAGATTTAAGTTGGATACTACAGAGCATGTATATTACGTACAATTATATTGTCTAAAATTTTAGAGTAGCTAAAAATATTTTATTTATTTATAAAATTTTATTTTAAATTTATTAAATTTGTTTTTACGTTTTATTTTAAATATATTATTTGTAAGGAATAAATGAAAATTTTTATATATTATTAATTTTTTAAAAGATGTTTTAACATTTTAATTTGCTTAATACCATTCTATAGAAAAGCGTTTGTATTCGTTTATATTACTTTTTTATTTGTACTTTAAAGAATCGTTTTATTATCTATTTTGCTTACACTTCTCTTAAAAGATATAAAATTATGGGTTTTGCACACAATATTTTTAAAGATTTATCAAGAGAAGATATATAATTTTAAATCAATCAATCTTATGAAGAGCATTAAGAAAATAATTTAAAAATCTATTAAGATGTAAATAAAAATTAGATAAAAAGAAATATGCACAAGCAAGTACAAGCTATTTTTTTCAAATGGTATTAACAAAATTTAAATATTTTATATAAAGTTAAATCTCAGGGAAATTATTCAACATCATTTATGCGATCATCGCTAATTATAATACAATTTTTGTATTACTAATAAAAAATTAGTGTACTAATTATTAAAGAT